CGGCAACGGTGCTTTCCAACATAGGAATGTTCTCATTTTTACACAGAGAATACATAAACCTACATGAAGGCCGTTTACACAATAAACTGCATTTACACTTCACTTTGAAAGGGTGTTTTTGTGTGTTAAAAGATTTTGACCAATCACAAGAGTTGAAAACAATAGCCAAGAAAAGTTTACAATTTTACATGTTCCCCACATAGGATCTCTTTGTTATTCAAACTGAGACCAGATTTTGTTACATGGAAGATGGCTGGTAAGTAAGGATGAATATATGTACCGCTTTATGAGGTTTTGTTAACTTTTGAGGGCCTCCCAGGGGTTTTAGGGAACAAGGGAACATCGCCATTTACTTTTAGGGAACAAGGGATATTTCAAAATAACTTTTAGGGAACAAGGGAACTGTTGAGGGATATTCGGGAACAAGGGAACATTGACTTTCGACCATTTTCTAGCTTTTGGAGAGATTTCCATTAACTGTTTATGAAGACATTTCCGACGTTTCTGTAATTTCACGCATTTCCGACGACTAAGCCTGGCGACTAATCTTCACAAGTGAACTGGTGACGACTGGGGACGAGTTTAGAACGCGTGGTAACCTTGGGAGAGACTCCGTCTGGTGGACCGCCATTTTTATGGTAATTTTCTCTTTGGTGTTCCGTGTCTAGAAACGACGAGAGACGATTACTTAAGTCACTACGTGAAATTAAGGTCCTTTTGGACCGGTTTAGTCCTGGGTTGAGTGCTAGATTTAACATAAAGAGCATTTTGACCCTGGTTGTGGAAAACACGTTTCCTGAGATGAGAACGGGTGCCAGTGACATGCCGTTGCAGCTTGAATTTGACTACAGGTTCAGTAGAGCGATCAAAGAACGCTTAAAAAGACAGTGCTCTACACCATATTCATACTGTACTAGCTCTAGTTCATACTACCCACACACCTTTGTATCTGCAAGCTACTCTGACCTTCCGAAATTACGTCCCCCAAAGACAAACAAGCTAACTAGTCAACAAGTTCGCGAGATGAGGAATTGGAGAGCTGTCCACGGTCAGAGTGTTCCCCAAAAAACGGTGCGCAATATGACGACCAAAGACAACCCAGGAACTCTCCCGATTAATCTATATGCGGTGGGCCCACCAGATGTCCAGCCACTTGATTTAACCAAATTAGGAGACCACCATTCAGTGCAACAAATGCCACAGAAAGAAGTGACAGAGTTTCTGTACACGTCTAATCAGAAAGTCTGTGTTAAGCATGACAAAGGGTGCCCTGAAAACACCTTGGTTCTCGCCTGCCTACAGGAGAATGTTAAAGTTGGCATAAAAAAAGTGATGGCCAAAATTTTTGTTCAAGATCCTTTTAACCCAATATGCTTTTCGGAAAATTCAGAGAAATACATTGAGGTAGATAGCATTATTTGTATCTTGACGACCTACAAACATAATCAAGATGTTTTGGAACTTAAGGAGGAAGAGCTGATCCTACTTCAGGATGAAATGCAACAGACAAGTGATGTCCTCACTCTTACAGAGGCGACAGAAATTTCTGCTGATGAACCAGAGGTGATGCGGCATTCATCAAGGAGACGAAAGAGGCGTTTTGCTGAGGATTATCTCTACTATGACTAACGAGGTAAAACTTACGAAAATACTAACCATCGAAAACTGAAATATGATTGAAATTCTGGGGAACATTAATTAATATTTCTGGGGATCAAGGGAACATGCAACAGAATTTCTGGGAACAGGGGAACTTGATGAAAGTGAATTTCAGGGAACATCTTAATTTATTTTTGGGGAACAAGGGAAAAACTCCAATTTTTTCTAGGGAACAAGGGAACATGTACCCCGCCTGGGGGCACAATAGACAGTACAGACAATAGAAAAGTTAGCACCTTTTTTGCATTCCAACATGTTTGTTGCCGTTGTTGCTATCGTTCTTCTGGACCGTTTCTTAATTAAAATTGTAGCTACCGGCGGTTTACCCTTTCAAACGACGTCTGGGCACAGTAATTTTCAGGGAGTTGTAATAACTCCTCTAGTGGGGCTAATTTAACTCCTTACAGTGGAGTTATTTTTTGGGAGTTACTATAACTCCAAAAAGGAGTTTAGAGAACTCTTTTTCAGGAGTAAAAATGACCCCAGATATTGAGGAGTTAAAATAAGCCCCAAAAGGAGTAATCCTGTACCTAAAAGTTTTACTCCACTTTCAGAGTTTAATTAACTCCAAAAGGAGTAAAAACAACCCACGTAAGGAGTAAAAGTAACCCCATTTCGGAATTATCTTAACTCCAGACTGGGAGTAAAAAGAACTCTTTTTCAGGAGTAAAAGTGACCCCAAATTCGGAGTTAAATTAGGAGTTAAAATAACCCCAGAAAAGGGGTTATCCTGTACCTAAAATTTTTACTCCATTTTTGGAGTTATAATAACTCTCTAAAAATTACGGTGCATGAGAAACAAGCGTAGAAATTCCAAACTGATGACGCGCACTACCTAGATCTGGGTAGTGCTTCTGATTAGTTGAAAATTTGCTTCATTCAATCAAAAGCAGTACCCAGATCTGGGTAGTGACACGTCATTAGCATAGAATTTCTGCACTCGTTTCTCAGAGGTCAATTCGCAGGGAAATCACCGGTGGCGTCGCGAAGTGTCAGCGGTTTTCTTAGGCTGCTAAAATGGGCGATCAAACAAGACTCCTTTTAAAAGATGCCTTATGTAACAATTATTTTATTAAGTTTACGTTTCAAATTTTTATAATACATGTAACTGAAAAATAAACCAAATAGCAATGCCAAAGCCACGGCAGGAAAGGTAATTAATGCAATGGAACTTTACAGAACATGCCAACCTTCTTTGGGTTCCTATTCGTCGGATTACATAAATACGTTTAGAAAAAGCAACGTGCTCGGCAATCTCGTTCCCAGAGGCCCCAGCGCGATCTTTTTAGAAAGCGAGATTTTGTGTACTCACTTGTCATGCGCGTTTCGGGCGCATGGCACCGATCGTGCAATCCCGCTGACCCTCTGAGAGTTCTAATTGGTTTACGAACCTTTTCACTCCCAAAGTTGGCTGAAAATAAAATTCAACCAAACTTGCAAAATTATGTCATTTTGTAAATTACTGACAATCAAATAGTACCTGGCGAAAGAATGGGCAAAGAGGTTTCGTTTAAATGTTCTCACCGAAGGATTTCACCCACAGACTCAAACGTTAGAGCTGGTACCTCATAAGACTCCTTTCATTCGCTTTGGGAGTGGAAGGGGTGCAGTTTAGTGATAAGCGAGCTCTTTATTTTACCGTAAACCTTATTTTAAAAATCACCCTCTCATAAAAGCAGTTACTTTAATTTTAACTTAGAGTGGTGTTCTGATATGCTAAGTCCTCCGATTGATGGCAGGGCTGCAAATAACGGCCGGTCAACGGACAATGTCCGGCCTGATCGCGGACTTGACCGGTCAAACTGCGGTCTTGCCGGTCATTTTGACCGGTCATTCTTGGATACAAACACTTTATTTTCCATACAGTTGTCGCTTAATGCTCTATATCGCTGCAATGATTTCTTTTTTCTTTGGCGTTTTTTGCTACTTTGCACTAAACCCTTCTAAGAAAAAGAACGCCGCAATAAATTAATTTCATGTCGTCATGTCGTAATCTAACGTAACAAAGTGAATAACAAACTGAGTTGGAAAGTACGCAACGTTGCAAGTCGTACTGTACTTTCGGCTTTGCTGTAATCAGCAATGTGACCTTCTTTGGGAATTCGAAGGAATTCAGGCAAATCGATCGCAATTCTCAACAGGTCGTCCTGTGTTTCTCCGGGAATAAATGTTAGCGCATCGATTAATAATAATTTCTTTTATGTCGAGCATGAATCTCGTTTGCAGACTCGATTCCAGAATGGTCTGATAAAAATGTAAGCTACTCAAGAGGGAAGGTCGTCGTCTATCGCGGCGCTAGATTCTCGTTCTTGTAAACAACTTTATGCAAATTTCTGCTCACATTTGAGCCCTTCGCGATAAACTGTTGCGCGATGACCCAAGTTTATTTATTGACTTCTGATCATCAACACGCTGTTTGTGGAACAAACTTCTCGCCAATGCAAATGAACTTCTTTGCCGAAAATATCAGCGACGATTCTTCTTTGAGGAAGTGACTTTCGATCACGTGCCAGGCAAGGAAAAAGATCAAGTTTCACCGATGTTCATTTCGGAACATCAACGTAAAACAAGCGTGTGCAGATTTTGTAAAATAACCCAATTTTGGGTTTTTTTTTTCGTAATTTCTAAAGTTTGCTGAACTGTATGTGTATTCCGTTTCCTGAACCTTGGGAGTTTGAAAAGGATTTACGCTTCACTTTTTACCTCTAGAGACTTCAGACACCGCCGTGCAATGATACTCAAGGTAGAACGTAACATTAAAACGTGCGAAAACCGCGGAAAGGAACTCTACAACGTGCGAATGCATTTTTCACCAATTTGCTGTCAAAAATGTGAACATCAATGTAGTAATAACGATCTATTGCCAGCATAACTGGATATTCCTTAGGCAAAAAAAAATTATTAGTATTCATCATTTGACCGGCCAGAATCTGGGTTTGTCCGGGCTAAAAAATATTTGACCGGTCATCATGACCGGCAACCTGCGGTCCGTTATTTGCAGCCCTGTGATGGTGTTGAACAGAACCTGTTACACAAGTGGAAATATCATCGTCATCCTTCTTGTTAAGGATTTTGTTTCAACAATACTCTTCGGAGCATGCTGACTCGTCACTAGTCAATTGACCAATCAGAATCTTACATTCTTAAATGGGAATGTCACGTCGCTTAGCAACCGAATAGAACACATTGCCGGACAAAATTTACCTCATCGAACAATTCATCAAGGTGCGTAAGACCGAAAATGTCTAAGACTACAAGCTGGCTTGAAATTATCTTTAAAAGTAAAGACAAAAGTATCCCCTGGAAGCCTAGAAGTGAAAATAAGTGTTTGCATTTCTCAATCACATTCCGTTGTACGCCGGCCCTCCACCCCCCTCAGGTACAACCCAGTTGATATTCTGACTGGGATCCTTAATATCACATGTCTTGCAATGCACGCAGTTCTGAGCGTTTATCTGTAGCCTCATTCCGTCTCCATCCTCATTAGGGACATATTCGTAAACCCCAGCAGGGCAAAACCTCTGCTCGGGGCCGTCATATATGGCGAGGTTCCGGTTAACCGGCACGGAATCATCCATGAGTGTTAGATGTGCCGGTTGGTCCCCCTCGTGATTTGTCCCGCTCAGCGCGACTGAAGATAGCAAGTCAAAAGTCACTTCTCCGTCGGGTTTGGGATACTCAATCGGTGTGCATTCCTTGGCGGGTTTCAAGTGTTCCGCGTCGGGTTTGCTATTTCGTAGCGTCCAAGGTTCCTTGCCGCGGAGAATGTAATAGAAAATGCCGGTGTACAGCATTGTACCGTAAAGACCCAAGGGACTGTGGAAAGAGGGCCTGATATTGCGCACGCTTTGAAGCTCTTTCCAGATCCAGCTTTCTCTCATCCGTGGTTCATAAGAGTCAATTAGGAGACCTAAAAAAAAGAAATCAAGCTAATAGCTTCCTGCCGAAACAAAGGCCAAAAGTATCTACTTCTATGTCCATAGGCGTCAACGCTAGGTAATATTTTGTGTAACCTGTCTCGCAATTTTCCGTTGCGCCGTTGCGACACAGGTTGCACGCGACGTCGTAAGTGAAACATCCCTTGTGACATAAACGGGTCATCCAAAGCGTGTTTTGCAGCGAACGTGCTGAAAAGTGGAACTTGATTCTCCTTTGTGTAACGATTCCTGCGAGCAAAATGTTCATCATTTCTAGCAACCTCGTGCAACCATTTACAAACATGGTTGAGAGTGCCCAGTGAAGAAGCGCATGTAGTAGACGATATAATCAGCTGAGATTGCTTTGTATTAACGAAGTCGATCATGGGGTTTACGAAATTACACCATAAAGGGGTGTTTAAAAAGAGAAAACCTACGGGCGCATTACTCACCTTCGGTTGGGGAAGAGAAATTTTCGTCAGTTAAAGCTTCAAAAGCACACTCGGCAGCAAGCATACCGGATTTCATTGCCGTGTGTGTTCCCTTGATCTTCGGAACATTCATAAACCCGGGGCTACAGCCAACCAGAAGACCACCGGGGAAAGCCAACTTGGGAATGCACTGAACAAAGATAACATACGTACCGCAGTTAGAAATCATTGCAACTAATATTAGGACGTATTATGGTAATCTTGAAATGCTAACATCGACAAATATTCTGGTCATCAGGTTTCAAGAATAGGCCCTTTTTTCCACTCAAATAACAACGATTAGCAGTCTTCGTCCAACCGCGGACAAATAGAGGTAGTAAGTAGTAAGGGCCTGTTTACGTGGAGGTGGGGGACCCCAGGTAGGTGAGGTAACATGTGTCGGGTCACTCCACCTATCATCTTACCTACCTGGGGTCCCCCACCTCCGTGTAAACAGGCCCTAAGTCGGGTCTGGAGAAACGGAACATTAGTCGCGCCGTTTCTCCCTGACCCGAATGACAGCCCCAGGTTCCCGAGGATGTGATTGTCTTTCCTGAAGTAGGGTATTTTTTCGAACAGGCTACTTAAGTTTTGGGTAGGATAGCTACAACATGGAATGAGTGGTGACAGACGGGGGGCCCGGGGTAACCAAATAATATGCTCCTACCTGGAAGCCCCCCTCGTTAAGTGCCCTTGCACCGTAAGCTATTCTTTTGCCTCCTTCAAATGTTGGCCTCACAGACGGGTGGAGCTTGAAGCGCTGCAAAAGAAATAATTAAATAATAATTAAATAACAATAAGAATAATAAAAGAATAAGGTGGTGACCGGTCGTTTCGCTAACTTCCCGTTCGCCAAAGTCTTTATGTCGTTCCGCTAAGAAGCGAAACGAGCGCTACGCATGTATATGCTTCGCTCTCTCAGCCGTGATACAAAAAAGTATGATACGTATGTATATACCTCCCTCTTTCAGCCACTGATCAGGCGAAAGCAGTTAGGGAACTGACCCAACACGTAGGGGGAACGAATTCAGTAGTTAGCAAACAAGACGTTGGCGAAACGACCGTAAACTACCAAGGCTAGCTTTCAAAAGATGATGATGATTATTATTGCTTTTCGACACAGCTTACCTGAAATTCTTTAAAAGGGTAAACATAAGGATTGCTGTAATCTAGCCCAACCTAGGAAGACACAAGGGTTCATATGTATGCATAGTTTAGCAGGAGAGGTTGAAAGAAAAACAAACAAACAGAAAACCTTGAACTAAATTCTAAGCCCCCATTCATTTTTTCATGGTAAGAACAATAAATCTAGTGTGGTGAAATCTACTAACTGTTAAGAATATCACTACTTTCACTCTTCAATTACCTGTGCCCTGCTAGTTTGAGTACATAATATGACTGCCGTTATAAAGCAAACATTTTTGGACAACTCTAACATTACAAAGAAACAAAAACTGAAATTGAGGACACAAAAACACCAAAGCAGAAAGAAGCAATATTAAAAAGCACCCTGTTTTGTCCAACAATAGATAATAAATTTTTTCCCATTCTATTGGAGTTTTAATCAATTCCAACAATGCAGTGTCTCCTTTTTTCAAGAGTAGTTACCGAACAGGGACGAAAATTGGGACATGTTTCCCTCTGTTCATATTAGCGGAGATCATTTTGTCTGTTTAATGATGGCATGGATGAATAAAGCATTGTTCATGTATGTGACACTGGTATAAGCTATGGCATGTTTAGACTTCATCCATACATAAATGTATAACCCACCACAAATCCAACAGCGACTAAAGGAGTGTCTTCCTCTAAATGATATAGAAATGAACCTCCATACGTGTCTTTATCCTGTTGTGAAGAAAATACAAACAACATTTAATCACTCAACGCTTTGCCTAGCAGTGCAAAGTTCATGTTATTTCAGAATGCTCAGAAATATAATAAGAAAGGTTATCATGTCCACGATCAATATTATGAAGAAAAAATTCATCACTCTTTAAGACTGAGTGCAGTAGTCTCTTTATTCTTCCTAGTTAGTGGGCTCAGTCACACCATTCCCTTTTGCTCCATGTTTTGCCTGACAGACTTTGAAGAATGGGAGACCATTCATAGTCTGCCACTCTTTAACCCTTTAAACCCTACGATCCAAATTAAAATTCTCCTTTGTTGCCCCTATTCATTTACTACAGAAGTAGTGGGGAGAAGTCGATAAAATATCAAATAAACACATCTTGTGATCACGTCCTTAATTCTCATGACCCCTCTGTTTTACAAAGCATTGCTATTACAAGGAGAAATTTGATGCTGATCACCCTTAGGGTTTAAAGGGCTAAGCAGACAGACCACAGTCACTCAGGCAGAAGTGATGAAAAAAAAAACACAAAGGGCATAGCAACAATTTTGCGCAAGGGATGAGCAGAGTTCTGGGGGTCTCTTTCACCCCTTCGTTTTCTTCATGTTTGAGTTTTGAACTTGGCTTGTCAAGACCTTGGAAGCTTGTAAATAAATGAACACCAAGAAAAATTTATTGAGTCTTGAAGCAACACTTACCAGAGGCCAACCAACCGTGTGCTCTACTCTGCCTGGACGATGCTTCTCTGGAGCTATTTCCCAAAGCTAATAAGAAAAACACAGGGCTTTAAATAACACATACAACCGGTAATTTTTACCAGCCTTCTGTGTCATTGACTCCTTACCTCAACACAAATTCAAATTTAATCTAGAATGCTAACAAAGAATCACAACGTGGTACTGCAAGCGTTAAGCTGATGTTTAGAGTGGCAGATCCACGGGAGGGGCTTGTGGGGCCTCAGCCCCCCCCCTATTTTTTGACCAAACTGAGGGGGCAAACCAAAGGGCACAAAAAAAAATGATTTTTTTTTAGACCCCCCATCTTATCTTAGGGTTTGGATGATTGGGTACCCCCTTATCTGAAGGTCTGAATGCGCCACTGGTTTATAACATTTATTCATGATGATGATATGCATGTATGAGAAAAGGGGTAACACTTTCTTTCACTTGTCCACTAAATACTGTTAACACACAGAAAACTATAAATTTCAGTGGTGTTGCCAGTATGGCCACTGATCACAGGTCTGAGTTACTATGCTTTTCTTACTCTCACTTTGAAACAAACAAACAAACTGATCGCTGATCTACATAGCTTAGGACCCAATTTTGACACTAATTAAGGATACATGAGTCAATGTTTTAAGCTGCCTTCGTTTAACACTTGTGTAACATAAAATAATTTATTAAAGTATTTCATAGACTAGAAGTTTTCCTCTGAAATTTGAAGATATATTTGTAAATTTTGAAGGAACATCTGATTCAATGCTCATAACATTGATTGAACTCATTCATGGCAGGTGTCATGGCCCTTAAAATATTATTATAGCACTGAATGTTTAGAAAACGAGTCAGATATTGGAAATATTTTTAAAGTAGCACTTACTGGGAAGTTTTATTTGCCCCTTAAACATTTTTAGTTACCTCTTTTAAGCCAATAGCGTAAGTCTGAGGATCACAATTTTCTCGTAGATTAAATTTTTTGTACATATTCTTGGCCAGATGACCATGGCATCCTTCACCAAACATTGTCACCTTAGCATGGAGTTCCATACCTCGCTCAAACATGGCCTGTAATGGTTGAGAATAACAAAAATAACATTTCTTCATACATAGTATTACAGTCCAACAAGCAAATCCATGAACACTTCAAATAATATTGCAGGAATGTTATTGTGTTACAAACAATCAAAGCAAAGATCAGCACACGTGAACTAGCCACAAAACCACGATACAATTCACATTCTTTCTAACACAACAACATTCCCAAAATATTTTTGGTGTTCTTGGTTTTCCAGGTTTGATCATAATAAACACATGGTCTGCAAAAACTTCTTTGGAGGCTTGAATTAATTGAACAACATTCTTTGTAATGCGAACATTTGAAACAATCAAGGAATAATTAATTTGATGAAATGATTATAGTTCACCTTAGGAGAGCCATCTTTATGAATTCCGACATCATTTGTTGCAATACCTTTAACACTTCCATCTTCATGGTACAACACCTAAAATTCCAATCATAAAGTACATATAATCAGTGACAGATGATTTTTAGGATTTCAGGGCATTATAAACTAAGACTTTCCTACAGAGAGTTGAAAAGGGATTTTTGTAGTAGCTTTGGCTATGCATTGGGATGTTTTGTGAGTGGCTTATTAAAAAATCCCTCGCCACTTTCTCAAACAATCAGAATAGCCTGGAGCCATGGCATCTTTTGGGTGTTGAACACAAGAACATTATTTTAATAGCCATACATGTATCTTTTGAAATCAGTTTTAAAACCACCTTGAACAACCTTAAGAAATAGATCATAAATAAGTTACAGACTTACCTCCAGCATTCACACAAAACAGATGTTACTTTGCAATAAAGGTAACCAAATAATAATTTATTAATTGCATTCAACATAATGTGATGTTCAAAAGGTCATTAATAATTCATAAAGAAAAAACAAAAGAAATCAATCAATGTTTAATGAGTGTCTTTATATCTGATTAAGACACGACTAAACTTTATGTCCAGTCTTTTAGACCAGAATGAGCTGATCTTTATCAGGGATTTTAAAGCCATTCAGAAAACTCACAGTCATGTATTATCATGTGTAAAAACTCTTGGCTTTGCCTTGAGTATTCAAACCTGAATGACCTGCTTGTTTTTTAAACAGTACGTTTTTGTTTTCTCAAGCCAGAATGTCTTGACCTAGTCAGGCACATGTCCTTTCACTTAAAGTTGCTCATTTGCAGGCCAAGTAGTTTGAAAGATGATAACAATGCATTTATCATGCTGTACAGCAGAGTTACATCTTCAAACCACTCTGCCCCTATGTCTTCCTTAGGATAAACATAGGCGTTTTTGTCTTTGGTAATAATTGTGTTTGTTTTCTGAAAAAAAGATGAGGTGTTAATATTCTAGTAGCATATCATTATTATTAAAGATCAGTGTAAAGGCTCACCTCACTAGCAGCATATCCAGGATATATCTCCACACCTAACGCTTCTGCCTGCTCACCCAACCAGCGGACAAAGTTTCCAAGCCTGACTATATAGTTGCCATGGTTATGCATGGGTAATCCTGTTAGAGATATACCAAATGTTACGTTACGCAGATACACATAAGTCAACCAATTGATTCTTCATATACAAAGCTTTAAAGCCTAGTAGCACTTGCTGGTGTAATATAAATATTAATGACAATGACAATAATTATAGTAATAATAACATTCACTAATAATAATAACAATAATAAAAATAGAAACAATCTTTTATTCTTCAAAGATAAAAAATGCATATCTCATCTCACAAGTAGATTAAAGTAGATTATTTAAACGTAGTGCAGAGTTCCTTTATGTATTCATATTCTCTTGAAAATGTAGAATCAGATTTAGATGCGGCATGGACAGAAAAAAAAATGATCTTAGTAAAACTGTTGCATTAAACAAAGGGTCTACAGAGTATAATATTTCTGATGGACTTTACTCTCTTTCGCACAGCAACCTAGTAAGACTATAGGCATTGAATTTTACATTCTTAACATAAATTGAATATTTTCTATAATATATTGAATCCTAGAATGACTTCCTTTCACAGCTCCATATTATTGCAATCAATGGAGTAATATCATGGTATTTTGCTTCTGTTGGAATCAAGTAAGAGTGTTGTTTATGTTATTTATTCTTCTTAGCAGCATGGATGTGTGACATTAATCACAACGTCAGCAAGCCAGCGATACCTTCAACACTTCCATACTTAATATAAACGTCTTTGCTATCATCATCAAACTCTCTTTAACAGTACTAGTACTGCTAACCGTCTTTGGAAAAAGCCTGACCTTCTTGCTGGTGTAGAGGAAATTCTGACATGAAAAGCTTCATGTGTTGTCCTTGTTCTACCACTAAAAATTATCACTAACAGTCAAAATATTCAAATCTAGTCTTGTTGCAGTCAAAGCCCGTGAAGACCTCAAAGGCCCCCTTCTGAAATACATGTACTAGAAGGTGTTTATTCCCAATAAAAGTACTGGTAGATGGAAAAAGATCGTAGTGACAAATGGTTGGTAAAAATTGTAGTTGTTGGTTGCAAGGATGATTTAGAGGGCTGGATAAGTATAGTTAAGCTCAGTATAACAGGCACTTTGGCCATTATCTCTTACAAAGTTGTCAAATGGGATGCCATATACCACATCACATTACTGGTTGTTTAATAAAGTGATGTTTTGCAAATACATGTACATTGCTGCTATTTAATCAAGTTCATATTAAACAGCAGTACATGTATGTTGAATTTCCATAGCTGCCTCATGTTTTGTGCAATTTTCCCCCCACTTTCAATGGCAACAATAAACTGAATTTACCAGCAAATTGTGATAAAACTAAGTTACTTGCCTTCACTTGGAAAAATATAAATTATTACGTAATGACAATTATATGCCATTAATGATGTAAGAAAATTCAATTTTGAACCTAAAGTAAGGTAGCACATTAACCTGGTAGAATTGGCACTGGAATTCTTCTTCTTTCTGTCAAAATTGCAAATTTGTCCTCTTTTACTGGTGTGTTGAGAGGAGACTAGAGAAATAAAAAAGTGTGGATTTAGATAACAACCTTCTCCCATTTTAAATTTAATTCTTCATCCAACCGTTTGAAAAGTCATGTTTTTCATGATGTGTTTGTTACAGGTCAAAATTAAATTCAAACTAAAATTTGTTGATCTAGGGTTGATTTTAATGTCTTCTTTGTCATATTTTAATCAACCTGGTAGTCTAAGAAATTCTAACCTGAATTTAATGACTTGTAACAAGTATAACTTTTTCATTCTTTTTCAAAGGATATGTTTTGTATAGTAAAATCAGCCTCTAGTTACTGTATTATTTTATCTCATACAGTTGGTTAATTTACCATTTACTTTGTTAAACTAAATGTTTTTTTTTCTTTTCTCTTACCCCTCTGTCCTTCCAATCAGGTAACAGTTCATTAAGTGCTCGTGGCTCCAGGCAAGCCCCAGACAGAGTATGTCCACCTAAGGAGTAAAGGAAGATTGTCAATGCTTTCAGGACAGTTCAGCCACAGCTGCTTAGACTGATTAGTATTCTCAATGGGTTTTTTACTGCTTCTGGTTAGCCAGGACTTAAGTTTTCAAAGGAAATGAGAGTGATATTTGGGATTTAAAGAATATATGAATGGCACAAGGGATTTGGTAATTTGCTGGAGGATTCAGAAACATCTAAATATTAAGTATACACAAAAATCACATTATGGTACATGTAGTAAGATTGTTTTTTTTTTTCCCTCAAGGCTACAATAAACTGCATAAAAATCACTTTGATTTGAAGAAAACATCCTTGCAATAATATAGAATTAGAAATTTAACAAACGCTAATGCTCAGATTAAACTTATCACCAATAGATGAGCTTCAACATTGTTGCCCACAAGGTTGGTGAAGCCGGGCAATGCTCTAGCAAGAGGAAAGGGGTATCCATGGCAACCCTGTAAGCGTCTCTTACCAGACACTTTGTGAAGAACTGCAAGCAAGCAACTGTGTGTACAAGTCACAAGGTGCCCTTGCTAGATCAGAGGGGCCAACCCCAGCATAGTTGGGAAAACTGCTGACCAGCACTGGTTAGAGGTTAACTTTGCCCAAATTACACTTAACCACATTGATATTCTATGACAACACAATAAAACTCCATTTTGAACAAATCACTAAAAGTGTAAAATAGTGTTGTCAGAGTTAAGGACATCAAAAACAAAGTATATAACCAGAAAATATTCAGTCGTTAAAACTTGATTTTCCACATGGCTTCCTTTGCCTCGCAAAAGAGGGAAAGTCGGGGGTGTGAATGTCACGCAATCATCATCACATCGCATTGGATTGCATCAGTCACTTGAAACGCAAAATACATTTTAAAAATTGACTCTTTCGTTAAAACAGTGAGGTAGAAAATTAAAATTAAGCTTTTCAAATTAAATTTTAAAAGACTAAGTTGAGCTTACATAAGAATTAAAGAAAAGAGGCAGCTACGTTATGTAATCTCACCGATTTCCGAGGCTTTCTCCACAAGGCAAACTCGAATTTCTTTCTCATTTTCTTCGGCCAGTTGCTTTAGTCTGATTGCAGCCGATAAACCAGCCGGCCCTCCACCGACTATTACAACGTCGGCTTCGTCTGAAAATCGTTCCATCTCTACATCTAAAAGCGAAAAAATTGAACCCTTGTGATATTATATTATTTTGTATACGCTGGAAAACTTTTGTTTTATACACTGTACACATGCCAAAAGTGACGAAACCAGTTTTACTATTACTTACTAAAAAACATAACATAAGCAACAAAAATTACCTTTCCATCTTGGATCAGTTTCTCTTGGTACAACAGTGTAATGTGTTGTAATTTTTGGCACCGAATCGCTTGAGTAGAGGCGGCTTTGAAGAAGAGGCAAGGCTGAAATTAACAAGAAGTCGGCATTTTAAGTCTGATTAGGGAAACAGGGTAAAAGTTTATAATTGATAGTTTAAGTGTACCTCTTCTTGCACTTCTACCAAGAATCCCAACTCGATTACTCCACATGTGTACTGACACAAAAATCAACTAAAAGTTCATTGAGAGTTATCAAAAACAGACACAAACTGCACGTCCAGACTGGGGTTCCGGTTCCAAAGGTCAAATTTCCGCGCGTACGTGTTGCTTGGTTTACCGCTGAATGAGCCCCAAAACAAAACGAGGCTTTCGAACCCGGTCGGTGTCCAGTATGAAGAGTTGGCTTGCACGGATTTTCGACGACCAATGCGGAAAATTCAAGTGTTTGTAGGAGCTGGTGACTATGAGCTATGAGGCGGTTTAATTCATCCAGATTAATTTTCAGAAGAAGCAAAGAACCGTCCAGCAATGTCTAACAACGCATGCTGTTCTTGCTGTCAATTTAGTCGCAGAGATTTTCGGAGCTGGTTGCGACCTGTGGTGATATCAATTTACTTTGTAATCCTGTGTGTTGCTCTTCCACTAACTGTTTGGGAATTGCACAAAAATCGTGCTCAAACTCATGTTCAGGCATGGTTTGTCGCAGGATGTTTTGTGTTTTTGACAATTCCTATTTCTCTCTGGGGAATTCTGCAACATTTGGTGAACTATACCAAACCAGAGTTACAAAGACGGATTGTCAGGTAAAAACTACAGTAGGTCCAGTTATACTTATGTGCTAACCTGCGAGAGTAGATGCCATACTCGGATTCAGTTTCACAGGTCAAGATGTGCAACTACAGGGGAAACAGGGTGTCTCCTCTCACATCCGCAAAGCCTTTTTCGACCTTCACACTCCACAAGTGCCAAATCTAATGCTTAATTAGAGCATTAGATTATCCTCATAAGCATATGTAGCGACGCAGCTGGCCCACGCTTTGTCCAGACTATTTGTGTAGTCCGTCTGCAAATTAGTGCGCAAGAGCTCGTTCTGATGTCCAGCAGAGTTGCAAGGATATATGTGAGCATTTCTGATAGGCGGGTTTCTGATGAGTTTCTTATGCACCTCACGACTAGCCCAATTCTTACGTGTGCATGACAGTTGGGCACAGCCGTTAGGAGCATTAAATTTTACAGTAAACAATGAAATAGCAGTTCAAACTTCAAAACCTTCTTCTGAACACAAAAAAATGCTTTGAGGGAATTGCTTTGAGGCCAAATACGTTTTTAAATTTGCCGACTGATTTCCCAGCGTCTTCCAATAATGCTGGAGATGCACTGCTGTGTATTCTGCAATCTAGTCGACAGTTCTAGCATCAAACCAAATCAGGAAATCATGATCTATTCCTGGATGAAAAAGTTACACACACGTAGCTACTCAGGTGCAGGTATTTCAGAGAAAACCAAAGAAACAAAAGTTATTTAGCCACAACAAAAAGCTCAAGGCTTTAACAGAGAAAGAAGAAAACCATTTTTATGGTATAAACTGCATCTGTGATAAAATCCTGTCAGAAAACACATTCAGAAACATAAACAACAGGAACTAGTTACTCAATATGCATGGAACAGACCAGCTTTATAACAGTTACCTCAAAATGTGTGACTCAAAGCAGCAAAAATAAGACTTGCTCTGCCTCAGTCACAGTTCATAATACCCCATGCACTGCATAATTATTTAATAATTATTAATTTCAAAACTTAGAAGGCCCAAAACTATATAAATATATTCTAATGCGTTATAGAAGAGAACATAGATTTTCTGACAAGTGCAACCAATACTGACATACATGTATTAAGTGTATTTTGTTTGTCTCAACAGAATTCTTTGGATGGTTCCAATTTATGCAACAGATAGTGTAGGTAGATGATTTTTTATGTTTTCATGAAAATAAAATTTCAAAGGATGGATGAAAAAAATAGAAATAGTTTTTAAAAACCCAACAGTTTATTTTACTGACAGGCACATCTTTTTGTGTTTCAGTGGCTTGCTCTTCGTTTTCCTAAGGCAGCTATTTACTTGGATTCTCTTCGAGAGTGCTATGAAGCTTATGTGATTTACAATTTTATGACGTTTCTGCTGGCATACCTTTCCTCTGAATATGCCTTTGAAGTGGTTTTGTCCGACAAGCCTCAAGTCAAACACTTCTTTCCTTGCTGTACCTTACCCCCCTGGAGGATGGGCAAGTATGGAGTCACGTAGTACTATAAATCCATATTCTCAAGCACTGCTCCCTATAAATTTCCTATATATGGTATTAATGAAGAGAATTATTTTGTTAAATCACGTCACTTCTTTGAAAAGGTTCCACTAAAATAGTTACACTGTTGATTTCATAGAAGATGCATGCAGGTGCAGATATCTTCATTTTGTGGGATTAACTGTATGAGAGAATTATAGGAGTGGAAAGTGACATGAATTTCAATAGCCCATGTTTAACGTATTAAAATTTTAACATGACTTTGAGACTTTAGGGTCAAAATTGCAAATTTTCACGACTCCATTGTCTCACAATTCCCAGAAGAGACTTGAGCACAAAGAAAACCAAACCAAATATAGAAAAATGAGCAGAAAGCCTCAGAGTCATTTTAGTTTAATATATCGAACATTGGCTATTCTCCTGTGGAACAGTAACCTAGTACTCTAGGCTGGCAGAAACTACACGTAATATCAGCTATTATTAAAAACTGAATCATTGGATAGCGCAATTCTAGAGCTCTGATTGGCTTAGCCATCATCGTATATGAGCCATTATACCATGCTCTCCAAATATGGTAACTGTATGCGTCTGCTCAAAATTAAAAACAAGCTGAAAGTAGTTTGTTTTTATTATTTTACATTTTGTGAGCGTTTTTAATAAAACAATATGATGATTATAGGCAACTTGGCGCTACGCACCTCGTTGGCTATCTACCATCTCATATCCAACATGCACTTATGGAATAGTAATTATTGTTAATTACGATGTAGCTCAGGAGAGTATAGGAATTTTTTGTTTGTTTTTCATTATAGAATATTTCATCCACCCACCCTGTCCACAAGTTTACTTTGTTTGGAGTATTGTCAAAATGACTGTCACTTCTGCTCTTTTTCATCAAACATTTAATTATTTCTTGTAGGACATTAATAAGCAGGTGTAAGCAAGGTGCATTGTCTTACACAGTCGTAAGAATCATCACCACATTCATTGCTTTGTAAGTATGTCTATTACACTAGTAATAACCAAAGGTTATGAAGTGCGGACTCCATCAATCAAGGGGCAAAATGCTTTTACTCCAACGCTGTGCTTTGCATAAGATTTAACAAATTGTGCTTGTCACAGCCAAAAAATTTTTTTTAAGTGAAGTGGATTGATATTTCATTGGTGTTAAGTTGACAAATAGAATATTACTTGTGCATGACCAGTTGAAGACTGAATTTCTCTTCTTGTGTTGAAAAGAGAAATTTTTAACTCTGTATGACCATGACTTGTAATATCCTCCGTATATTCATAGCATGCTTGTCTTGAAGCATAAATTAAAATAAATCACAAAGCTAAATAAATGCACATACAACTGTACGTGAAACAGGGTGAATGTCAAAAAACTGTTTTCAAATTAATTTTTTATAGTTTCAAAAACTTAGTACTAGAAGTGTGACAACAACTCAGATACCCCTTTTGTGAAATATAATATTATTAATAAAGCTCCATTTAAAGGAAATATACATTTTGTTAACCAAAATTTTTTGTTGTTGTTAATTTGATTTTACTCCCCTTCTGTTGTTCAAGAAAAGTATATCCAAAAGCCAGGTTAATTTAGCCCTATTTAATATGCCACTCTTTCAAGGCTCTCTCTTTAACTAGTTAAGTAAGTGCTACATTTTAACCTTTGCTTTTGTATTTTGTAATGTGTATTCTATTAGTATGAAAGAAAGGAAATAGAAAAATTGAATAAATTCTAGTTTACCCGTGGATAGAGACTATTTGAAGACTTGCAATACCTACATCCTTATGCTTTTCCCTGTTCATATTCATTCCAGGGAAAAAGTCATGATTATCATATTAACCCAACTTTATCATTATCTTTAAGTACATTTCTCTTTTCTTTGCGTATTTCAGCTGCACTGAATTGGCTGGAAAGTATGATGAAGGAAATTTAAGCTTTAAATCAGCATGGAGTTACATTGTAGTTATCAACAACTGTTCCCAAGTGGTATGACTGTACCAGGTTTAAATTTCGATCTAGTTTTATGTGTGCTTGTTTTATATAGACATCGTAATGTTAGAGTCGGTGCATACAGTGGAAATAATGGTTAAAAAGGGATGTGAATTCTGTCAGTCTGTTGTATTTTATTATCACCCCAATCTACAATAAATTGCATGGAAATAAAATCTGAACTTGCACATAATTATTTCCAAAAAGAATAATTAAAAAAACCACAAACATTAATAGTTTACATTAGTTTTTGGTCCCCTGTCCCATTATTATCTTAATGGTATCCTGTGTGGCAGCTGCTGGTTATTTTTTTGTATGTATAGTCGTTATAGAGCATGCTAGGGGAACACCTCTCCCCTCGTGAACATGCGTATCATTAATTATTTATCACTTTGCCCTAAAAAACAGGCCCTTGCTATGCAGGCTATCATTATGGTTGAGTTTGTACCTAAGGCAATAATTCCACCCGTGTTATTTTTGTTTGACTTCAATATGAACAAGGAAAAATTTATGTGGTAAAACGACAGTAGTAAAAGCTACAACAATAGTGAAAATGTCAGGAAATTGTGGAAAGACATGTAAGCATCAATTTACTAAGTATATGCCAGCTAAGACTGTTAAGATTGTGCACCCAAAATGTTGTAAGGCTATTCTTTAGCAGTGTGCACTTGTTACATGTAAGTTTGATGTGCCTGACTAGATAATTTTCTTCTTATACTTCATTCTTGAACTTCATTCTTTTAATGGGGTGATTGTCCAGCTGGATAGTTTTTCTCTCTTTCTTATGTTTTTTGGGTGGGGGGTGGGGGGGTTGGGTGGTTCAACCTTGTAGGGGACTACCTTGTATAAGTTATGTCTCTAAATCAGTATAAATAAATAAAAAGAACAATGTAACTAAGTTTATTATATAAACACCAATGTAATACCAGGTGAGATTTCGCCCAAAAACATGATAATTATCTTCACGTGTGAAATTAACATGTTATCTTGGCAGGTGAAAGATCACCATTGCTATGGCTACATACGTTGTGCCTTTCACAACAAAAAACTGTTAAAGTGAAATGGTTCAATGGTATTTCATAGGTGTTTAGATAATAAATCGAATGTTGCATGGCTGCTTGAAGGTTATTTCACAAGTGAGTGCAGTGAACGAGTGAAATATTTCTTCAACACTTGAAGAGAAAGTTCGTATCCTTGCTTGGCCATGTAATATCCTTTATATAGGTAATTAGTATTCAATAACATGCAGCCTAAGATTTTGATACTAATACAAAATTCTTACTTTGGTTTCAGTGGGCAATGTATTGTTTGGTGCTGTTTTACAAGGCTGCTCACGAAGAACTCAAACCAATAAAGCCATTTGGAAAATTTCTCTGCATTAAACTTGTTGTTTTTGCATCTTTCTGGTAAGTGGGCTTTTCAGATTATTACCTAACTTGTTCAGGGCTCAAAATAACGGCCAGTCAACAGACAGTGTCGAGTTAAAGATGACCATTTTTCCAGTCAAACTTTCTGTTTGGTGATCATTTTGACCTGGCATGTAGCCTGGAACCAGGCTCCGCAGTGGAGGAAAAAGGCGCAAAACAAAAAATATCGTTGAGCCAAGCGGTGGCCTGGTGGCCTTTCCCCTCTCCAGACTACCTCCCCACTCACTTAGCTCGCCGAATTTTTTTTTGCCCACGCCGATTTTTTTCTTTTTTTCCCCTAATGTGAAGCCTGGTCCCAGGCTACCTGGCATGTAAACAAAAAGCCAGCCAAGAAAAAAATACATTTTCACACCATAATTTTTCAAGAGGACTAGCATCTTTTTCTTGTTTTTGCTTGTTATGTGTATGGTATTGTCAAATTTATTTTGAGCCCTGCTTGCCGGCTATGCGCAATATAATTGGTCCAACAGAAAAAAATGTATTTAGTGGTGATGTTGATCTTTGAAATTTCAGCAGCAATGCACATACTGGTAATTAAAGTAGATTGTACTTCCTTATAACTTATTTCTTTCGTAAAAGAATATTACCAATTATTTATACCTTCACGAGTTATAGTGACTTAAATGAACAGATCATGTCAGCAATATTCAGTGATAATAATTATCATTTATATCACCAGGCAAGGTGTTTTGATTGCCATTCTTGTCAAGGTATGTGTTTTTTGTTTTTTTTTTTTTGCTCTGTGGTTTGTGAAGGAAATCGATAATCTCTTAACACATGACATGTTTGTGATCTCCTTTGAACTTGTGAATAACTCACACTGCTGATACCTGATCATGCATTTTGGTTCACTCAATTATAAGCCAGTTACAGTTTGAGGACTCCGAATCTTAGGATCCCCCATCATTTTACATCCTGACTTTTTCTTAATGCAATACTGAGGTAATTGCAGAGTCAATACTATAGCAGTTATTGAATGAGACTGAGTAGGATGTGAAGAATTATGCAGATCGAGGGGAATGTTCACCTTGGTGATAACATCCTCAATATGGTATAATAATTATTGCTTGCATCTTCCAAATTTGGTCACTGCTGGTTGGTTCTGAAGAATTAGCCAGGGGATTTTAGCAAATTAGAAATGGGGAAGTATTTTGAATGAACAGTAATTTATGCTATGAAATGTCATTGATGAGAAGACAAAACTACATGTCTTCTTTGGGAATTTCATACTTATTAAATCCTCCAAACTATAACTATTTCCAGTAGCTGACCAGCACATATCATTGTGGATAAGATTGGCATGATAATTAATTTAAACACACTGAGAGTAGGGCTTCCTTTTGCTCTTCCTGAATCACATCAAGCCCTTGAAGTCGCCAAAGCCCGAATCTCTGGACAAGTCAATCTTGTTTTCTCTTGTCAAACTGGTCTTAGCCTGCTAGCAAGCTCTTCATGGCGCTCCAGCAGCCGAAGAGCTTGCTCCAAGGCTAAACTGGTCTGAGACTCTGTACCAAGCACAGGCTAATAGGCCTGGGTTTGAAACTGTATCCCAGCCACAAGCAGCACATGTTCAACGAAGATCTTTCTTGATTCATGCAGGGTCCTTCTTGAGCACGCCAAAATCGAGCAAGTTGAAGAAAGTCTCAGTTATAGTAAGGACACAAAGTTGGTTTACAGCAAGGAACCCCACAAGGAGCGTTGCGTGACGACACTAAAAACGGCTGTGTAGCAGACTACCCAAAAGTGTGACCTCCTTTAATTAACTCACATTCTTTGATGCAGACATTAACCAATCAGAAGTCGAGGACAGTTTTTAGCTGGCTTCTGATTGGATTAAATCTGTACGAAAGAATGTGAATAAATCAAAAGCGGTCACACTTTTAGGATCCTTGCTGTAAAAACTTCTACTCGCATTCAAAAGACTCCTGCTGGTACAGTAGTTTAATCTAAAGGTCCCTGTTATCTTCTAGGTGGGAATAATATCAGCAAACCATACGTGGAGCTTTTACACTGTGGAGGATGTTGCCAATGGAATTCAGGTGAGGATATGATAGGATTTTGGGTCACTCGTTAATTCACCTCACTTCTATCTTAAACTGCTTGCTTATCGGCTGGTGAAAAGCTATGGCCGGGCTGCCTAACTACCTGATAATTTTACTGGGGTTATCAATTTGTAAGACGGTAAAGTTCAAGTTTATCATTAACATTTTCATATATACATGTAAAATACAACACTTGCCCGAAAAAAAAGCTGGTCTAGTCAAGTACTGAAGAGCTTATGTGTATAGCCGGGTTCTCCAGGTTAGCGGTCGTTTCGATACAAGTGGATTCAGTCATAAGTTATAAAAAGGTTTAACATGCTTGGCTTAAAGAACAAGGCTGAGGATTATTCACCCCAAATGTTTTTTCTAGTTCACGCGCAATCTATACTTGATCGAAAATGTTGTGCAGTTTCACTGCTTGAGTTCGTATCGAAACGACTTGTATCGAAATGACTTTGTATCGAAACGACTGGATTCCTTTAGCCGCACCGTCTCATCAAAAAGGGACGGTGCGGCTACACAGAGGCCAGTATTGACTGACATTATTAATCGCTACTGAATGAGATATCTGATTGATCTCCTCACATTTCTTTAAATAGAGAGCTTTAGATTTGAGAACAAGAACGAGTACGAGATTTATCTCAAAGTTTTTAAGCACGTTCTAAACAAAAAAAGACTCCCCGGAAAGCTTCATTTTACTTTTTTTGTTTATTCTGAAGGAGGTTAAACCCTCTCCCGATAGCAAAATAATAAAACTCTTACACTTCTTTCCGTAACTACGACATTCTCGCTAAAACTTGTTGTAGAATTACGTTTTCCCGCCAAAATGACGCTGGTTCACGCGTGAGCAATACTCAGTATTGAGGAAATCTCGTACTCGAAGTTACCCTGGGTACCAGAGGTTTTTCTAGCGTGCAGCGGAAATTTTCGCGCGGGTCACTATTAAGACTTAACAGAAACAGGAACTGCGCTAGAAAAGTCTCTGGCACCCACGTTAACTCGTAGTCGTCCTTGTCTCATAATCAAAACCTCTCAAATAATTTGTTGAAAGAGTTTGTTAAAAGATCAAAGCATTTTCCCTTGGTGATCATTTTATGAATTCCCATGACCTCTTCTCTTAAGTTTATTGATATTGTTGGCGATGTTGGTTACTCTTGGGCCGTAGAAGGTAAATACGACGACCACCACGTTATTTTCGTTACCATTTTACCCCTTTCGCACAACCCCTTGAATTCTTTATGTTAATAGTAGGCTTTCTAAAAGCTCTTCATTTTTTGGGGCGCAAAATGAACCGGTAGCCTGCGAGGCAGTCGCAAAAAGGGGGGCAAGACGGGGAGAGGGAGAAAAGCGCAACCCCCTCACTTTCTCACTTCCTCTCAAACCCCTTTTCTCTTTCGACGCCTGTTCCACCGGTGACATCAGCATGACGTAAGCTGCTGATATTTGACACCACTCTCGACGCAGCATATGTCAATCATTTTTCCCGCGTGAATTTATATGATTCAAATCCATTCAGGCTAATCAAGTCGACGTTGCGACTTCGTCGCTCGCTCAGTCGCTGCGCGACCTTATTGAAGCTCGCTTCGCTCGCTTTCAAGAACTTAAACGAACAAGTCTATGCTAGTACATGTTAGAAAAGCAATCGATCTGGCAAACAGTAATACTTTGTAATAGTAAGTAACAAGGAATCCTTCACTAGACCATTTCCTCCTTTTCTAGCTTTGACACTAAAAAATACCTACCCCAGTTTTTTTTCCTCTTCGACATTTTTGTGTTCCTAGTAAATAACTTTTCTAAATCAAAAGTCTCTGACGTCCATGCCCTATACCACACGCCGTAGCCTGAGTATCACTGAGAAATTTCAGGGAGGGGGGGTAGGTAGGAAAGGAGCAGAGTGAAGCGGAGATACTCAGGCTACACACCCAGCATCACTTACAGCAACACACTGCTACAGGTGTGATGACACTAACCGTTTTACCAATGGGCATTTCTGTTGCCCACGAGGAAACAACTTTTTGTGTGTGGCAGATTTCCCCAAGGTGAAATTGCCTCGGGGAAATTTCCATGGATACGTCAAAAAGAACAAAAGAATTACCCATGACAGTTCCCGTCCGAGGAAATTCTATGGGTTGATAAGAACCCAAAGTGGCTCAACCAATCACGAGAAGGTGAAATATACCAAACAGTCGAGATCATGTGTTGTTTACTTGCTGCGTTCGTCTTGGCGCCAAATCCTACGCGAAACTGGGCTCAAAGTTGGAAATCATATCAGCATTTTTAGCTCTGCTGTGAATGTTTTTATGTTTAATATATTCAGTCAAAGTACCTTGAAACAGTGGAAAGTTTTCTTTACTATAGTGTTTAAGAATTCTTACCTCATGAAGTCGAAGCTGTTTCCCCAAGTAGAGCTTTGAGAAAAAGGTCTAACGTAACCGCACCTTATATAGGCGTATTAATTATAGTGACTATAAACAAATCATTCGCTGACTGGCTGAAAATTCGCGCCTAAATGTATTCCGTTTGCACGAAACCACTCTAAACGTACAAAAATTTAGACATATAGTCGTTCCAAACTTTGAACTCGAAAACGAGGTCAAATTTTTAGCGTGAACGTTTGAAAATTTGACCGGCGTGGTGTGAACACCTTAACCGTCTAAATTTTGAACGGCAAAGGCGTGGTTACATGGATAGGTGGTAACTCAACTGCAAGACACCATTTTGGATTTGCTAAAGTGGCGCTGTGCGCAAGGGCAGATAGTAAATTCACTGAAAGAAGTTGAAATTTAACCTGGTTCGTCAGTTCAGTTTGGTTCTGTCTTCTTCTTCCTTGGAAATCACGATGGGTCCACGATTCTCTGGTAGGAATCGCGGGCGCATCGAGACTCGGGGATCCAGTTTATCTCCTCCCCTGAAGCAGGAGAGAGACCCTGGAAACGAAGTTGCTACTTGAAATTAACTGTTTATTTGTACGTCTTTGATTACAATATTGGTCAGACGTATTATTATTCTTTTCACAGAATTTTGTTATATGCCTGGAGATGTTCATCTTTGCCATTGCTCATTACTACGTCTTCTCCCACAAACCTTATGTGGATCCATTCTCACCCCCTCCCCCCTGCTGCGCCTCTTTTGCTTCCATGTGGGATGTGTCAGACGTGCGCGATGACTTGCTGCAGCACGTGCAGAGCGTGGGAAGCACGGTGCGGGGGACAGTCGTGCGAAACAAACGCCGTGAAACCGCGGCCTCGGGAACGGCAAACACCGAAGTAACCCCTTTACTGGAAAGTGAGATTTGCGAAAACTTTTCCTCTGATGAGGGCCTCATTCTTGATTGAGTCTTTTTGAGCCAACCTTATTTATTCTGCTGGCAGTTGATGGGCAAGTATCCAAATAGTTCATACACTATAAAGTCAAGTTATTTAACAAAGTTAACTACAAGAAGTATCGTACTGCAACACCTGAAACCCTGTAAATAAGGAAGAACTTTGTAATATAAAATAATTTGTTGGGGAAAAATAAAGTTGTAGCTCGAGATTGCAAGGATTTTATGCCTTAATCCTCAACGATTTCCATTTTTTTATTATTTTCATTCTTTGGTAACATTACGGGATGGGGACTATGTAATTTTCCAGCTCGGAAAATTTTGCCGAAAATTCATCTACTCCGGGGTACAATCTGGTGTAGGACTCTTAAAATTGGCGAATGCCAGGATTCCGTATTCAACATGAAAGTACAAATAAAATACAGTTGTGGTAAAAAAAAAAAAAGATTAAAGACTAATGACCTTCTCCAAAATATCCATTAAATCAATAGAGGGAATAGCGAGATTTATGATCACGTGAGGAAAACTAATAAACGATGGTCACGTGGTACGTACGTTTGCCGCAAACGCTTGTCTAAGTCGCTCTAATCAAACACCAGCCTTGGATCAGCTTTAACGTAGTCCAGCGTTTAAGACATGGTTGTGTGAGGGCTTTTTAAATTGACACCGAATTGTCCATCGATTATGATTCACGGATTTGCCAACGGCGGTCCGACTAATTCAAGGGGTATTGAAATGCTTGATTCATGACATCAATAGTTCTAAAGTGGCAAGATCCCCCGTACAAAAACTCTAGGATTTTGGAGCTGAGAGGTTAAGGGAATATATATTTTGCGGATCCTTTACTAGTTCATTAAAGCGCTCGGTCATCTGGTCAAAGGATATATTGACACACCGGGTAAAATAATGTAAGCCTGCCGCCATTTTGTTCTGTCCAAAGTTGGTGCGGATGCGCCACCCTTGGAATAGCCTAGTAAAGAATATAGACAATTACAATCGATCGGTGATAATTAGTCCCCCTCCACCGATGTTTCTTTCGGAACCAGTCCACCTTCACCTAGACAGCAAAACAGTCCGTATTTTTGCGTAATAAGTACGCGCTAGCAGTCAAACAAAAGGTGTGAGGCTCGCGCCCTTCGAGCACGTAAGACTCTTACGCCGTGCTTTACCGATTTCTTTACTGATTTTGAGAAAAAAAACCGACTGTTTTGCAGTCTAACCCTCACCCACTTTCCCGATCAATGTTGGTATGACTATGTAAAAGCCACCTTATCACTAACCTGTGATAGGGGGATAATAGGGAGAGGGCACGATCTCAGGCTTTCTTACCTCCGGCACGTATATAATATGGAAGTTCACATTTCCTCTTGTCAAAGGTGAAAAAGAATCCATTAATAGGACAAATTGCCTCAAATCATTGGAAATTCCAAACAGCAGATTCGCAGTTTTTCTTAAGTTTCGCTAATTGATCACTTCTCATAAAGCAACCTCGTTCTCTCTGTAGGGACGGGTAGGAGAGAACTCTGGTAACGAGGTTGCTCATAAAGTCTTTTTGTGTGGAATGGATTCGCGCCATGAAGGGGAATCCAAGACAGTCTTAGATTCTGGATTCCAGGGCCGGGATGTTCGAAGCTGGGTTAAGATAACCCAGGGTTAGTGCGAAATTTGAACTCAGATAATGAGAGCTTAAAAAGCAAATTCAGTTTAATTCTCTTTGCCTACAATTTGGTGACTGAATACTCTAAAAAGAGTAGAGAAAATTATCCGAGAGAGTGCTTTTGATGAAGATAAAGAATCCCAGGTTAAAATGTAACCCCGGGGTTACATTTTAGGTCGTGGATTCCGGATGTCAGATACTGGATTCCGGATTTTTTCTGAGTGGAATTTGGATTTCCAATCGTCAGTGGGATTCCGGATTCCTTTGCCCTGCGAGCAGAAGCCCCTCGATCTTTCTAGATAAGTCGGGAAGAAAGGGCCTCTGCTCGCACGGTAGGATTCTTTAAGCCGTACTCCGGATTCCACAGTCCAGGTGCCAGATTTCAAAGTGCGGGATTCCGGATTCCAGAGTTCGGGATTTCTGATTCTACAAGCAAAAATTTTCTGCATTACAGAATCCGGATTCCCTTTCACGGGGCGAAATGGATTATTGGAACAGATAAACATACTCCCTTATAAAAAGAATTCTCCTTGCAGTCAAAGATGGCTGACAAGCTTGCGCTCTACTGCAGTGGGACCGACTTGTCCTATTTAAAGTGGAGCTAGAAAAAAATTTTTGCTGTTTATTTTATTCATGTCAATGCCCGTACCTTTACAAAATTATTTCAAAGCTCATTTCTCCTTTTTTGGACAAACCAAACCATAGCAATATGTGTACAATGGTTCAACATAATGCAAACTTGAGTCGATAAATTATCTTGTAGTCATTCTCATGAAATTTGTTTCTTCTCAGTGACAAGGAACGCAAACACCTCTGAACAGCAGTCGTTTCTATTACCCTTACTGTTCCATTATTTGAAGACCAGGCCAAATGACACTATCTTTTAATGTAAAGGCCACGCACCGAAACGTATTTATCAAAGGCTCAGCAACAACTAAGGCGACTATTCCACGATCTGAAAACTTAAGCGTTATGGGCTTGAATCAATTCATTTTTACCGTGATGACAGGCTCCAGAAATAGAAGGAAGGCTGTTGATTATTCGGTTAAATGCACGAAGTTCTCTCGATACGCGTTTTTGCCCGCGTGGCCGATAACACGGTTGTTACGTGTGCGTCGCGCGCGATTAAGGAATATTGCAAGAGTAGCTCGGGAGTTCTTGCAATACTGGTACTTGTCCTCGCACGTAGTGCGAACGTCCAAACAAAACCGTGCAAAACAATAAATACTGGAAAAACCCAAGTGTAATTAATACTGCCATTGAAAATGGTGATTTTGTTGTTGTTGCATCATAACCTTCGCAAGCATCATTTTCAACATCGCATTTTCTTTTTCAAGTTGATCAATTTTGTGCGCAATTAAGATATCTCTGGCTCGCTTGGCTTCTCGAGATTTTTTCGCGGAAATGTTGTTTCTTGATCGCTTTCTCCAGTACCGTTCATCTTTGAATTCATCAGGGACCGAGGGTCTTCCTCGTTTGAGTTCCTCATCCGGGGATTTTGCCTCTTTCCGTTCTTGAGCTAGTGCATAGTGTGAAAGAACTTCGGGAGTGCGGAATGACGTCACGTTGTTAGGGTGAATCTGACTTCCGTGGTAATCATGTGGGACTGTGCATTTCCCCCCTTTGAGTTCCTCACCCGGGGAATTTGTCTCCTTCCATTCTTGAGGTGTATAGTGAGAAAGAACTTCGGGGGCACGGAATGACGTCACATTGTTAGAATGGATCTGACTTCCATGGTAATCCTGGGAGATGGTAGGCTCGCGGCACGAGGTTTCTATTGCAAGAGATTGACTTGAGCCTTGGATCACTTCAGGTCTGTAAACCGATTGATCTTTCACCACCAAAGAAGGACTGGGAAAAGCAACAGCAGCACTAATAACAACATCCCGGTCTTTGTTCTTGTAAGCTAACATATCGCAATGTGTTCTGCTAGGCGTTGAGATTGTACTGTTAGCTATAATGGGATCTTGCGTTGTCTGATAAGGCAATTCTAGACCCTCAAACCATTCAATTGCTGAGCTTGCCATGTCAAGCTTAGTAAGCTCCGCATGGAAATTAAAGGGAACATTGAAGTCGCTGACATCGACAACGAAGTCATCCTTGCCGTCTTCTGAGTAAATCATTGAACAAGGAGAACTGCTTGATTCACTTCTGGAAGTTTGTGGGCTCAGGCAAAAACTTTTCATTCCTAGATGAAGGAAAATTTGAAAATAATAAAGATAACTGCTTTTTCTGTAGTAATAAACTTGAGCCAATTTTCTGATCTAAAACATTCAGAACCGCTAGTGTTGAGAAGAGACGGAAAGCCTGCCCGTAATATTTTGTGCACGGTTACATGACTCATATGTGAATAAACTTTTAGGTCCATAAGCTTCGAGGTATCAATTGTGTTCAACAACAATGCTACGGCGTTTAATGCTGTTCTTGTGCCTTAACCAACTCCTTTCGAATTGACCCCCCTCACGGCCGGAGGCCCCCTTAGCCTAAACACTTCCTCCTCCTCCACCTACTGAATTTACGGTATGCAGTACGTATATCTTCGATAAATTTAGTGTAACGTGTACAGTCACCAGGGATTGGCCCACTTGAAGACATCAATCGGTCGGCCAACGTAACTTGAGAGCCCACGAGCGCTTAACTCAGCGGTCGTTTTTTGGCCGAGAAACTATGATTTATGGCCCAAAAAAAAAACAGATAACGACAGTCAATGAGGTATGAAATTGTTAATTGGCTAATCCAAAATATTACTTCTCCGCTCCCTCACGTGTTCCAGCCAAAAGGCAAAAATGAAAATAAATTAGGCTGCGTCACTTTTTTATCAAAGGAGTAATAAAATAGTTAGCGTTTTTTGTAGCAAAGAGTTGAATTTTCTGTCAGTCTGTTCTAGCTGAAATATGCAAGTAGAAGTAGGTGAATATAGTAATAATATATCAATTGATTTTTAAATAGTCTACTTCTTTTATTTGACCTCTCTTTCATTCTAAGGAGTTAACCGGTGCGTAAAAAAATGCATAGTAAGAAGTTGGCTTGATTAACAAAACTCTCAGTACATCAGCTTTCTATAAACGCAGATTTTTTAAAACAAATCGGTTACAATCAGAAACTGTGCAAATAACGATTTCTTGCCTAGTAAAATTCCAGGAAGATGAAAATCAATAGTTTTGCATAAGGTTTTTTTTTGTGCTTCAATGCTGCCGCCCACACAAGTTCATTGAACGGCAAATTGCAAATTGAAATTGGAATTTGAGACAAAATATTTCAATTAGCATTTTTTGCTTAACAACTGCTTTCCACTCTGACAAGTAGAAATATTAACGAACGCGACCTTCCAGGAAGGTAACTCTGAAAGAAATTAGGAGGCAGTATAAAAATGTGGGCAGCGGAACGTATCTTAATTATTTTCTGGACCTTTAAACTTAGGACAATGAAATCTTACACAATACTAGCAGTGTATCTTTTATAACTATATTGGGCAAAACAGCTGGAGGCAGCCAAATAATTTAATATTGTGATAAAGTTAAGTCTCATAGAAATCTAAACCACACCTTAATTGGACAAGATTTACCGTGTTGACTAGTTCTAAGCAAATATAATTTTCATTTGATTCCAATCCTTCTCTGATTCCACAACAATGACAGTAATAATCCTTTTCCACATTTAACATAAGCACCCTGACTTTATTTCACTGGGAAGGTTATCTTAAGTTGCTAAAAGTTTTCTGACAAATAAATGCAAAAGTTACCTGGCAAAGAAAGAGGAGCGGCCATTTCTTGTTGCATCGATTCGTACCAACCTTTTGACGGAATGATAAGAGCCATCTTCGAAGACGTGACTTTTAAAAGTCATACAGACGTGTTAGTTTTCATTGTTTTTTTTTCCTCGGTCCTTGCTTGTGCATTTGCATCACATGCATAATTTAATAGATAAAGAAAAATAACTTTTAGCACGAAGCTGGAATCCTTGAAAGATAACTCCATAGAAATCAAACACAATTGTGCACAATCATCTCAGTTCCCTTGAGGGCATAACGCTATCTGCATTCCCATAAGTTGCTTAGTAGATATCATTGGTTTGTTCATCAGTGATGAGGAATATATAATTGTAAAAGTTCAAAACAAATACTACATCTCCCCAAAACAACGATAGCAGACCAGAATCACATTAAACGCACCCCCGGCATTATATATTGAAAATGCTGAAACATTGGGTGTCTTCTTGATAATGCATTTATTGATATTCGTTGGTGTCATCTCTAATATCATACTTTATAGCTATGATAACCCATCCTGGCAAAAGCCTGAATTTTGATGTCATGAATTATGTGCATCACAATTCAAAATCGCTTGGTGACTTTCCTATATTCTTGATAACTCAGGGACCTTGGATAAAGAGCTTAGTTTTAGAGAACTTCTCTAAATATCAGCCTATAAATCAATTTTGTCTCGGTGGTCAAAAAACAAGTCATCACAGCTGATAAAACTAACTATTTAAAAAAGCCATTATCCAACAGCTGGTTTCCTGCCAAAATGTCGCCTTGGATTTGCCGATTCACCACGATCATTGAATTTTCAATAACACATGCCGAGGTGAGGAGAAGGGGTGAAGCTAAATATCGTATCGTAGTACTGTACTTTACAATATTTGTGGCGATTCCAACGGTGATTTCATAATTTTCTGTTTGTTTGTTGGTTTGTTTTTTTGGTTGTCTGTCTGACTGTTTGTTTTTTACTTTCTAATTTTGTTGTATAACAAAAAATATATATTTCCGACTGTAAAATTAGCATTGCTTCTTTAGTATATCCTGTTTTCATTCAAGAGACTATGATTCGATCCTGAAGTTCAGCTAGAGGCACATACCCGTTTCGGCCAAATAAGGGAGTGTCCCTTTGTATGTCCCTCCGGGGCATCTTGCGAACAAGCTCTCCACAATTCGCGGCTCATTCTCGTGTGACCTACGAATCTCAGGGTGGTTCTGGAGGGAGCACTGAGCGTGGCGTAAATGGCATTCTTAAACATTTTTTTTTCCTAACAGAATCAGCAGAATGCATGTGGAAATGTAAAGCCTTTTTACGAAACCATAAAGAAAATAGAGAGTTTAAGCTTCACGTCAGTATACCGCTAACGGCAAACGTCAGATTCAAGTGTTTTTTTTTTTACAACTTTACATACAAAAATAAGGTCTACACTACACTATATCCTGGAAAATTAATCAATATTTTATACAAAATATCAGAAATAAATAAATAAATATAAATGACAATAAAAAACATAGAGAAGAGGCCGGGAATAGACTCAATTTAGAGAACTTTTAAATGATTTTTCCCATTTTTTTTTTTACGGTATTCTACCTTATTCCGCATAAATGCTATTCTACCATCTATATTGTGTATTGCTCCGATTATTTCTTTTTTGAAAAAATAAAGCCCCGCATTACTGGTTTAACACCATTTAATTTACAGCGATAAATATAAAACAAATGGATGGTCTTGCATCTGACCTCTTAAAATGATAAATCTCTTACCGCCATCTACATGACATACCTTCAGTTCACATTTAAAATTCTCTTTTACAAGTATATATCATGACGCCTTTGCTATGCTCAGATCCGTGACTTAGAAAAACGTCTCCTCTCCGTTGTGATTTCCATCCTAATTCAGCTTAATTCGTTTCCTGAAGATATATGATATCCGATTTACTTTTTAATGACCAATTGAAATGGCTTTTCTTTCTCAATGGATCCATAGCCTCGAACACACAAAGACAATAGTTTACAATATAAATTGAGTTTCATTGTCATATATTTTAATTTCTGGAGAAAATAGTGGAAAGGCGGTAGAAGACAAAGTTAGACATTCATGTACCCTGCACATTTATTTACTCATAAAGAGTCGGCCCCAAAAAATAAGCAATACGAAAATAACGCGAGAATCAATGACGGAAAATAACAATAGCCACAAAGAACTAACACAATACTTAAAAATTGTTTCGCTGATACGTGCGAAAGTTCGTGGCATTCCATATGCACGTGCTCGTTGAAGCCCTTGATATTTAGTATTCATAAATCGTACCTTTCAGTAAAGCGAAATTGTAATTGATTCAAAGACATGAGTTGTAACTTGCAACAGTAGATTAGTCGTGGAAAAGAGTGGAGAGTGGATTACAAGAGTGAATTTGAAAGGACTCAATAGATCGAACATTCGCGGCTGCAGGACACAAATGCTACCGGGTACTTATCGAGGAACATTGATCTGACATTCGTTATATTATTTTATTTATGCGCTCTCGTGGTGATATTTGTACTTTAATTCTACTTTAGGTTTCGAAGGCGTTGTAATGCATCTTTGAAAACGGTAATGAACATAGTGGATTGCAGCTAGCGAAACATTCGAAACCCGAAGCGTGACATCAATGATGGCTGATCAAGATGCCAAAAACCAGAGACGCGCTGCGAAAGGACGATTTACAAGAAAACTAGCTGAGTTAACGAAGTCGATCGAGGAGGACAAAGGATCAGAAATAGTGGTAGTGAACTTCGAGCAGCTGAACGAGGCATGGAGAAATGTGGAAGCCAAGCATGATATGTACACAACATTTTTAAAGGATAGCGAAGTAGAGGAAAGCGAAGCGTGGATAGCAGAGTTACAGAGTTTATTTAGCGAAGCTATGGAAAAACAGGTTGAATACATCGGCTCAAAGGCAGCTAAAGCGATGGTAGAGAAACAGGTACTCAGTCAGCAAGAGGCGGCTAAAAAAGACTACGAAAAAACTCAAAAGTTAATCGATCAAGCTTTCATAAAGCGAGACACGGAGGAAGCAGTTTTTAGAGCGCTGTCAGAGGACGCCTTTAAATTGTTGGAAGCGTGCGAAGCCGACAAGGATGTAGTTCCTGCTCTCAGGAAAGTTCAGCAGGCGTTAGAAGCTTCGTTAGCTGGTTGCAAAGTGGCGAATGACAAATATTTGGAATTTTTGAGCAGAGAAGAGGCCTCGACTGAGGTGGGATGGATTTTGGTTGTCCAGAAACGATACAATCAAGTTGTGGACAGGATTGAATCAGTCATTGCCAATCAAACAAAGGTGGAAGTGGGCCTGAAGAATCTTGAAGCGAAAGCTACTAACCTTCGCCTTGAAAAAATAAAGATGCCCCGGTTTAGCGGAGAGCTGAGAGAGTACCCGAGGTTTAGAAAAG